GCGTCGCTTCCCATACCTAATTCTGTCAACAAGAAATACTACAGAATTAGAGATATTCTTATCAAAAGACATACATATGACAGCCAGCAGAAACCTTGATTTATTATTACCTGGAGGTGTATAACCAATAGTTCCCCCTACACCTGTAGAGCTTTTTGAATTTGCTGATGAGTTTGGAATTGCTGGTGGAACAAATCTTGCCAAACCAAAATCACCAACATGTGCAGTCATGTTCTCATCGAGAAGAATATTGCTTGGCTTCAGATCACAGTGAATTATTGGGGGTTGGCAATCATTATGGAGATAATCCAGAGCACAGGCAACATCAATGGCAATGTTTAATCTTTGAATAAACCGGAGCTTCTTGTGCTCTTCCTGTGACTCAGATTTCTCCTGAGTAGTGAAATGTAACCAGTCCTGTAGACTTCCCTTATCCATGTATTCATAAACTATGGCCTTGAACTCATTACCTTCATAATCAATACCTGAGCATGCACTTAGAACCTTTACAAGATTACGATGTCTAATGTTCTTTAAAACCTCACATTCAGCTAAAAAACTCCTGGAAGCTGCATGGTGTGAAAGGTCTAGTACCTTAATAGCAAAAATCGTACCATCGTGTTAAGAAATTCCTTTATATACAGACCCAAAAGCACCCACTCCAAGCAAATTTGATGCAGAAAATCTATCAGTTTCCCTAAGTAGACACTGATAAGATACTACTAAATTGCCGTATGCCAAGAAACAAACTATGAATGTCAATCCTATAAGCCCACTAACTACAGGAATTACTATTTTCAAGGGAAAACCTGATTTCCTTTCTTTGTTTACCTCTACAACGCAAGCCGGAAGGTCCAACTCTGGTACACCCCCACAGAGATTTCTATTTCCTATGATGGAAACCACAGTAGCATTACTAAAGATGCCTCCTGTTGGGACAACACCTTCCAAAGTATTGCTAGACAGATTTAAAATCTGCAGAAATTTGAAGTCCTTCAAGAATCCCGGGATCCACCTGACAGATTATTGATAGAAAGGACTAAAAGTCCCAGGCCTCACAAACTATTCATGGTTGAAGGAATACTACCCTGAAAGTTGTTGTTGTTTAAGTCTAGTGCTTCAAGTTTCACACAAGTACCTATACTGGTAGGATTCTGGCCCTGCAACTTGTTATCAGACAAGTTTAAGTAGCCTAGACTTCTCAACTTCCCAATTTCCATCGGAAGGAAACCAGTTAATTGGTTCTGAGATAGGTCCACGCCCTCTGACAAGGATGAGAGTTCAAGAATTTCTGATGGTATGAAACCACTAAGGTTATTTGAACCAAGATCCAACAGTTCCAAATTGTGGCATTTGCCTAAACTAGGAAGGAATTCTCCCCTGCAGATTGTTTTCTCTTTAAAACTGGAGTTTGGTTAAAGAAGCTAAATTTCCCAATCAGATTGGAAATTTGGCCAGAGAACTGATTTCCAAGTAAAGCCAGCTCTTGCAAATATATTAGATCACCAATTTCAGACGGAATTTCATCGTGAAATCTGTTGTAAGCTACAAAGAAAGCCTGAAGCTTCTTGATATTGGATATCCCTCTTGGGATTTCTCCAGAAATCTGATTATAAGACAACGAAAGCTCTATAAGCTCAGTCGAAAGATTACTAATAGATGCAGGTAAGACTCCACCAAAATTATTTGTATTGAGCTCCAAAAGCTCCAAGCTAGTGGCATTCACCAATGTGATGAGAAAGCTAAGGTCATCATCCTCCCCCTTCCCAAGATAATTGAAAGCAACTAAAAATCTCCGCATTTTCAGCAAATTTCCAATGGGTGGTACTTTTCCTGTGAGTCTATTTCTACCAGCAATAAGAGACTGAAGATTCGTAGCATTTGACAATGTTACCGGAATATTTCCAGTTATATTGTTTCTATAAATGCTAATGAACTCTAAATTAGGAAGAGAAATACCAAGCAATGGAGGCAATTTTCCTTCTAAATGGTTTGTTCCAACATCTATGGCCACGATAGATGAACGATTGAAAAGACAAGGAGGCAGGGTACCACTCAAGTTGTTTTCATTCACTACAAAGTACTTTAAGTTGAGCAATTGACATAATTCATCAGGTATTTTCCCTAAAAAATTATTCTTGCTTGCAGAAAAGGTTATCAAGTAAAGAAAGATTACCAAATGAAGGCGGAATTCCTCCTGTAAAATAGTTAGAAACAAGGTATGTTTTGAACTCTTTTGCTAGTTGGAGAGCAATATTTGATCCAAAAACCTAACAACGAAAGCATTTTTGAGCAAAAAAAGTATGGAGAGTAAAAAGTGACTCGTTTTGAATAGTCCTAAAGGTATATTACAGTGCAATTAAATTGGGGTATCATTGCAATTTAAAAATTCGTAAGTGAGAGATTTCTCTTATCACTCCAGTCTTCTTATGGTGTTTTGTCTTTATAGGGCTAATTATTAGGCAAGTACAATCAACGACTTGAGCAAATGATAAATCAAATGGTCGGCAAGTCTTCAATGTGAACTCTTTGACCATTTTCCCTTCTAGAACAACTTCGGAATTTCAAGATGCTTTAAATTAAATGTTTTCTTATTTTTTCTCATATATTTATTAAATAATATATGAGAAAAACCATCAACAATAAAGAGCATAAAATGATTGAATTTTCCTTAACATGAGTGGTTGTGTTGTTCTATTGGAACTACACTAGTTGATAATTCATCAAAGCACTATTTGATTTGCTAATGGTATAATTTATCTCTAATGTATTTGAGCTTTAGACATCGCGGTTGAAATCTACTATCTTTGTTCAGCATCCATGTCAAAACAAGTTCACTGCATCTGGTAACTCCATTGCATCTCACTGTCTAAAATGACCTGAAGGAACAATAGATAGACATTTCGACAAATGAATTATATGTTAGAAAAGTAAATTAAATGTTCTAAGAAAGCAAAATGTCATATATGTCACATTTCACATCACAAGATGTTTAGACACACTAATCTCATATATGTCACATTTCTCATGAACAAAAACGAGGCATTGGCATTAACAGGATTAATAATACAATGATTCAAAATACAGCTAGACAGTGCATCAATCTTTACATAGTCAGGTGAATCAAATCAGTCAGTTCTTCCAAGGAAACAATCATATTCAGGTGTCAGACCTCTAAAACTGGCACCGATCCAAAACATAGAAAGCATCATGCAGCATGAAAGCCAATCATCACCTCCCATGCACACTGGCAGGTGATCGAGCACCTTTATCACTGCTAATGTCTTCATCAATTTCACTTCCATCAACCCACACAACGTTGTTGCTTACGCTCACCTCAGAACTAGCATTACTGCTAGTGGCTAGTGGGGAGTCAGGCATGTTAATTGACCTGCTTGTCCTGCCTCTAGTAGGCGGCCCTGATCTCACACTGTACATAGAGGATGCTGGAATATTAGTCATCAAGGGACGCAGATTACCCGGGACTCTCTGCCTTATATCCTGTCCAAGAGCAATGTCTCAAAGTTAAGCAAATCCTAAAAGGATAAGAGAACAAGAAGGCCAACAAGACGGATCATCTAAGACTTAGAGCTATAAAAAAATTAAACAACAAATATTGCTACTCTAATCAGTTTTTGAAAATATACTTATGTCTTCAGTCTGTTGTACAACACAATATTCTATTAGCATAGGAATGTGAAAAGAATGTACATACCATATGTCTAATAGCCATATCCAAGGATTTCTTTGATAATGATCTTCCAAAACCTGAGCTATCAGGTGATGAAGACTTTGCAGATAAGTTACTGTGTGGAGAATGTTTGTCGTCTTGTTTCGGAGGAACCAGCTTCCGCATATTTATTACCCTTTCAACCATTTTGGTCCCAACCATACCAGGGCTTACATTGTCCTTGGCTTTAGCATGAAGTCGGCTCATGGATGGGACAGGGACAGAGCTTCCACTGCTATGCATGGTTTGTGTTGATTTATATCATCTCTTTCCAAACTACACAAACTCAAGATTTTGGCAAACAAAAAAAACTCACCAGCTTAGAAGGAAAAAGCCATTTTCAAGGTAGAACAATACTTACACTCAACAAAAGGATCTGATAAAGTGCTGAAGCATCTTTGTTGAGTTTGAGTTTTGTGTCTATCATTTTATAAGTTATTGCATCTTGAAAATTCTCAAGTACACAAGCAAAGACCATCTCAGTGAAGTATTCTCCGACAAGTGCAACAACGACCTAATCGAGTTGCAAGCGTCATAGTGTGTCTTAGGAGTTATACTTTTGTGCTTACATTGTAAATCTGTTCCTATTCTATAAAGGATTCAAATATTTTGTTTCAGTTTCTAAAAGTCTAAGTCAGTTAAGGTTGACAGATTTAGTGGGCAGTGTTGTATCTGCTTAGTCAAATTCTAAATCATCTAGAGTTAGGTGGTTTAGTGGGCGGTGTGGTATCCGCTTAGCAAAGTCTAAGTTATCTAGGGGTGATAGCTTAGTGGGCATTGTGGTTTCTGCTTAGGCTCAGTAAGTAATAGGATTATTACTTAGTTGTGAGATTAATAACTTCCTCTTACTTTGGTTGTAACTGGGTTTCACTTTTTCTTGAAGAGATTAGTGGAAACAGTTGAAAATCCTGTATGATAGGTCGTGGTTTTACTCCCTTGAGGAAGGAGGTTTCCACGTAAACTGTTTGTGCTGATTTCCTTCATTATTCATTCTTGATTACTGTTCTTGCTGAGTCAAGGGACCTGGTCTGTTGACTGATAGTGGACGCGTATATTCTATCAATTGGTATTAGAGCGGGTGCTCTCTAGCCGGTTAACACTAAGAGAGAGAATACTGCAGAAAGATAGCTGCTCCACTGAACCTGGAAGAAGGACAATCGTCAACAAGACCACCTCGTTTCAATGGCCAGTTCTATAGCTGGTGGAAAACTAGGATGCACGACTTCTTGATGGCGGAAGACAGTGATCTATGGGATATCGTGCTTGATGGACCCTTCATCCCAACTACTGAAGTGAAGGATGGAGAAATTACCATAGTCGTTCCCAAGACTCATCAACAATACAATGAGGCAGACAGAAAGAAGATAGAGAAAAGCTACAAAGCAAAGAAGCTGCTAGTGTGTGGTATAGGCGCTAAAGAGTACAATCGGATTCGGCATGTGAGTCTGCAAAAGAAATCTGGGATTGTCTCAAGACGACCCATGAGGGCACGGAGTAGGTGAAGGAATCAAAGGTGGACATGTTGACCACCCAATATGAGAACTTCACAATGAAGGAGGGAGAAACTATTCATGACATGCATACTAGATTCTCCTCAATAACCAACGAGCTACGCTGCTTGGGAGAGCCTATCCATCCTAGTAAACAGGTAAGGAAAATTCTTCGAATTCTTCCTAAGTCATGGGCAAGCAAAGTAGATGCCATCACTGAAGCAAAGGACCTGAAGGTTTTGACGATGGATGCTCTCATTGGTAACTTTTAGACTCATGAAATGAATAGAAACCAAGACACTGCAAAGAAGGAGGTAAAGAAAGATAAGTATCTAGCTCTTAAGATCTCATTAGGTGAAATCTCCAGTGAAGAGGAGGATATGGCTTATCTCACCAAGAGATTCCAAAAAATCGTGAGAAAGCATGGAGGTTTTCGAAAGGGAGGGAACGCTCTCCGGGCTGCAAATTCAAGTGACTTATGTCATAAGTGTGGAAAGGCTGGAAACTTCATGAGAGACTGTCCGATGCTCAAGGCTGAAACCAAAGAGTATCAAAGATCTGGAGGTGAAAAATATAGAAGAAGGGACCTGGTATCCGAGAAAAAAGCAAGAAAAGTTGTAGCTGACTATGTTGTGAAGAAAGCTTTGGCTGTCTAGGGGGATTCCTCAAGTGAGTTAGAAGAATCAGAATGTCCCGAAGATGCATCCATGCTAGCTGTTAAAGACGATGATAATGTGTTTGATGGCATGTTCGCATTCATGGCTAAATCTGATGACGAGAAAGATGAAGAAAAGGTAACTCTCCTTGACATTAAACAAAATTTAAATGCTTATTTTGTTAAAAGGTTGAGAAATCTAGTTGATGTGTTAACAACTGAAAAGGACTCTATGAACAACACTCTAGAAAAGTCTAATAAACAAAATATAGCACTGATTGTTCACATGTCTGTCATCGAGGAACAACTGACAGTTCTAGAGACTGAAAATCTAAAACTCAAGGAACAATTGAGCATAATGAATGAAAAGTCTGGCAAAAGAAAAGAGAAGGCTAGTAGTCTGCAAATAGAGCTAGAAGCAAGTCTAAACACTGCTGAAACCAGACTTGCTCTAGCCTTGGAAAGAAATGATCAGATGGACCTGGTCCGTTTTAGAGAAGAACTGAAAAAATCTCTAAAATGGACTAGCTCTACCAAGTTACTTTCTAACATCACTAGTCAAAGTAACTACAACAGGAAGGGGTTAGGCAGCTTAAACATCAGTCCTCCCTACAATCCCTACAGTAAGTATGTCTCTGTGTTAGATAATCTATTATGTCTTCACTGTGGTCGCAATGGTCACCTGAAAAAGGATTGCCAAGCCAAGAAAGCTTCTCAAGAAAAGGTCTCAGTCTACTTTAGACAGAAATTTAACCAGAACAAGGGACCTACTCCTATATCCAAGTCCTCTAACTTGAAAAAGATTATTCTGCCTTATTGGACAAGAAACACTCTCATTATGCCTTTATCTGCTTACTGGGAACTCAGATTAAAATGGGTTCCTAAGTCCAACAAATAATCTTTGTTGTAGGGGAGTGGATGAGGTAGCAGTCAGTGTTGGTTCATGGACAGTGGATGCTCGAAGCATATGACTGGAAGGACTGAAAACTTCCTCTCTCTCTGAAGGCACTTCAAAGAGGATGTGTTTCGTTTGGTAATGGGAAAAGGGGTATATTTATGGTGTTGGAATAATTGGCAGATCGGTTGAACACTCAATCGAGAATGTATACTATGTGAGTGGACTAAAATACAGTCTCCTCAGTGTGTCACAAATCTGTGATGAAGACAATAAAGTTAGATCTCTATTTGAAAAGTGCATTGCTAGCAATTTGTCAACAAATGAGGTGATCTTGACGGCTAGAAGGTGCAAAAACATGGACCTGGTTCATGGCCTATATAACCTAAAGTTCGGCAATGACAAGGTGTGTGAAGCTTGCATCAAAGGGAAATAGACCAGATCATCATTCATCCCAAAGAAGCTAATGCAAATGATGAACCTGATGAGGGACCTGGTTCGGTAGACAATGCTGAACAAAGTTGATGTTGCTCAAACTGATAATATGAATTGTGAAGGTTAGAATGAAGAAGTTAATCAAGCTCAGTTTGAAAGAAGAAAAGTGCGACACCCGGTTCCCCGACCAGCTGACAGGTTGTCCAAGTTCCCCTTCAACAATGGTTTCAAAAGAGGTTGTGTTGCAATCATGAGTAGTGAGCATGATGGGAGAATTAAATTTCTTCTTGGAGCTGCAGATCCACCAAACTTCTGAAGGTACCTCTGTTTGTCAAGAAATGTACAACAAGTTGCAGAAGAAGTTTCATATTATGGACGCCAAGACAATTGACACTCTTATGGGGACCAACTCGAAGCTAGATGCTGATGAATCTAGTCCAGATGTAAAAGATACAAGTGTTAGGATTTATGCAAGATTCCAAAAGGAATCACATTTGAAGGCGGCTAAGATAATCCTAAGACTTTTGATGAAGACAGGGACCTGGTTCTACTCTATCCATCAGGAGATTTTGTAGGGGATTGAAGGAATATGGTGATGTTGCGTATCAAACTGATAGAAAGAGCAGGAATGACTCATTTTATGGGCTCATATCTCATTCATGAAGAAAAAAAAGGGCAAGGATATAGCAGATGCAGGCCGGTGTGCTCAACTCATGTGGATCAAACAGCAGCGTGAAGTTCTTAGAGTGGTTACTCAGACTATCCCTCTCCTATGTGCTATCACGAGTGCTCTCACTATGACTAAGAACTCAGTCCACCATAAAAGGCCTAAGAATATTGGTGTGAGAAATCATCTTCTGAGGGATCATGTTGAGAAATGAGATATCAGCTTGTAATTCTGTAAGATCAAAGATCCAATCGTTGATATCTTCACAAAAGCTCTGACGAGGGACCCGGTCAAGATAAACAAATTAAAGTTGGGGATGCTAAAACTGAACTGAATGGATCATGCCTGAAGCAATCAACCATCTCATGACTATGCACAGGGAGCAGGTATCCTTGTTTTTCAGTTATGTATGTTTTAGCAAATTCAGTATCATACCTTTTGTAGGTATACACACATGGTAGACTTGTTGAAGGAAAAGGGAGGTCATAACAGATCTAGGCAATAACGTTCAACTTACATAGAGGGAACCGGTCCGTTATCGAAGGTTAGCGCTCTTAACATTGCATTGTGAAATTATGCATGAGAACCGTTGCAATTGCCACATGTCTGTCAGGTATCTGATCATTGTGCCATCTTTTGAATACCAAGATGACACTTGCTTCCACATGATACACCCTTCCACTTCCCTTGTACTCCATATTTCTTTCCATCTCTCTAGAAAATTCAAATTCCCTTCCTAAAATCAGAAAATTTCAAAACTGCAACCTTATACGATTTGGAAGCTTTTCCATTAGATCAAGTATAACCTTGACCCTACCCGTGCTAGGTCTTGACTTGATTTGAATAGCTTTATCTATAGCTATTGGTTTCCCAACTGCTGATGTTATAGACAGCAGAGATTTCTTTGCAAACAAAATCTGGAGATAGGTTCGGTAAAGAAATCCAAACCACAGCTAACGTCGTTTCCTCCTTAGGGTTATATCCAATGGATCATGGAAAAACCCTACATTGGTGCTCCTCTCCATTGTAGAGAAGATAATTAACTGAGCGAGATAAAGCTAGTACATAATCTTCATATTGAACAAACCTCAACAAAATTTG